TTAGTACATTGGAAATTAAAATAAATAAAAGTACTAGTAGGGACGAACTTAGGGGTGGACTCAACCGGGCCGGCCCGGCCCGGAACCGGCCCGGCCCGCTACTGTGCGGGCCCGGCCCGGGTACCAAAAAACCGGTTCGGGCTTTGACCCGGCCCGGGGGGGTAGGGCGGTTCGGGTACGGTTCATCCAAAAGGCGGCCCGGCCCGGCCGGTTCGGGCCCGGTCCGGGCCCAACGGCTACAATTTTTAAAGAAAAAAAAAAATCAGCCAAACAGGCCTTATGGCCGTTGCTTTTGAACCCAAACGGCTCTATAGCCGTTGGGAGCCTGGCAGGGGGTCCCGGGGTGGGTTGGGGGGTGGGGGGTGGGGGTACTAAAAATCTATAAATACTCCATTTTTCCTATACAACTTACTACACATCTTATCCAAATATTCCTACTCTCTATTCTCTACTAATCTTCTTCATCTTCATCTTCTAAAATTTATAACTACATATATTATATTTATAAAATTTATTATCCACTTATTATCTACTTATATTAATATCTAATTATTATATTATTGTTACTTATATTTATTTACTTATATTTACATATTACATATATAATTATCTCTAATTTATTTACTTATATTTACATATTACATATACTTAATAAATACTTATATATATTAAAGTATTATATATAAGTGTATTACTCATCTTATAGTAATATACTTATATTATATATACTATAAACATAATATTATATATTACTAGTTAATCTACTTATTATCTACTTATAAATATATATATATATATATATTAAGTATATCTACTTATACACTTATTATCTACTTATCCAATTGCTTATACACTCTCACACTCCCATTAATTTTGTTTACACACTCATACATTTATGTAGTTAATTGTTTTACTTATCATTTTAGTATTAGTTCATTGCTATAAAAGTAGTTAATTGTTAGTTGTTAGTTTATTTGAAATAGTTACATTAAAAATTGTTAGACAATAATTCGAAATTAATTGTTTACTTGGCAAACTAGTTAATTGTTAAATTTATTATTCTCATATAAAACTAGTTAATTGTTGCATTTATTATTTTCCTATAAAACTAGTTAATTGTTACATTTCTTATTCTCCTATAAAACTAGTTAATTGTTACATTTCTTATTCTCCTATAAAACTAGTTAATTGTTACATTTCTTATTCTCCTATAAAACTAGTTAATTGTTACATTTCTTATTCTCCTATAAATTTTATTGCATTGTTACATTTATTATTCTCCTATCAAACTAGTTAATTGTTACATTTTATATTCTCCTATAAAACTAGTTAATTGTTACATTTCTTATTCTCCTATAAAACTAGTTAATTGTTACATTTCTTATTCTCCTATAAAACTAGTTAATTGTTACATTTCTTATTCTCCTATAAAACTAGTTAATTGTTATATTTATTATTCTCCTATCAAACTAGTTAATTGTTACATTTTATATTCTCCTATAAAACTAGTTAATTGTTACATTTCTTATTCTCCTATAAAACTAGTTAATTGTTACATTTCTTATTCTCCTATAAAACTAGTTAATTGTTACATTTCTTATTCTCCTATAAATTTTATTGCATTGTTACATTTATTATTCTCCTATCAAACTAGTTAATTGTTACATTTATTATTCTCCTATAAAACTAGTTAATTGTTAATTATATTAAAGTTGTTCGAATTCTATAATAAAACTAGTTAAACTTGTTAAATTTTTATTTATTTATTATTTGTTAACAAATAGTTCGAATTTTATTGCATTGTTACATTCTAGTTAATTTACTTGTTCGAATTTAATTATTTCTTAACCTGTTAATTTAATTATTTGTTAAACTTGTTAATTTAATTTAATTCTAGTTAATTTTATTACATTGTAGTTGCATACTTCGAATTTAATTGTATTTCGAATTGTTAGATTTGTATTTCAAATTCACTAGTTTAATTGTACTTCGAATTTAATATTTGTTATATTTTTAAGATGGAACGTGCTAGAGCTTCTGTAGATATGGGTAACCTCCGCCGCAACCGAACAAAGGAGATTGCGAGGAATCATCCAATCTCACGCAAAGGTAAAGGACGGGCCGGGTCTTCATCTCAAACCCGAGATGATTTTGATGCGGATTATAACCAAAGATATGGGGATGCAATGTCCGATGAGCAATTACAACAATTATTGCAACAAAATCAAGGGGCATTTTTCCATCAACAACACATCCCGACCATTGACGAAGACGAGCTTGAGGATGATGATGCGGAGGAGATGGATCCGCAAACCGGCGAGCACGAGGTTCATGGGAGTGATGCCACACCGGACGATGATGAAGAGCAAGCGGAAGTGGCTACTTCTTCCCAAGGCGGTGAGAAAGGTGAATCTGTCTTTAAATTAAATTTTACAAAATTTAAAGACCCCGCAACCGAGATATGGTACGCCACTTGCAAGCATTGCCCAAAAAAGTATAACTTGGGAACTTCTGGAGGGTACGGGAGCGCCACAAGGCATCTTAAGGCCAAGCACGTGGCGGAATATGAGAAATCGGCCAAAGGCAAAGGAAAACAAACACAAATTTCAAGGTTTGCGACTGGCCAACCCTTCGGTAATTTCTCCTATGATGATCAAAGACATTTGACTGGTATGTCTCATTTGATTGTTGAAGAAAATTTGCCTTTTATTTTTTCTGAAAGTCTTGCTTTAAAAGAATATGCTCAAGGTACTTTAAATCCTCAATTTCGAAACTATAGTCGCAAAACAATTAAAAAGGAAGTTATAAGACAATATGTTTTGGAAAAGGAAAAATTACAAACATTTTTCACAAACTTTGATGGTCGTGTTAGTATATGTAGTGATATATGGGAGGATACTCATCATCATTTATATTATTTGGGTTTGACTGCACATTATATTGATGATGATTGGTGTATGCATAAACGTGTTCTTGCTTTTCGTGAATTTAATGATCGACACACCGGTGATAATATTTATATTCTCATTGAGCGTATTTTAATTCAGTATAATTTGATTGATAAGGTGTTTGCTATTGGTTTTGATAATGCTACTAATAATACTGCGGCTATTCCTAGATTGCGTGAATTGTGTGGTTCATCTTCTTTGATGGGTAGGTTTTTTCATCAGCGGTGTGCATGTCATATTTTAAATTTATGTGTAAAGGACGGGCTAGCGGCATTGGGAGATGCTATGGAGGTGGTGAAGGGGGGGATTAAACTTATTTGGGCTAGTAATCCACTTAAGATGCAATGGAGAAATTATTTGAAAGAAAGGCGTGTCAAATATTGTGCTTTTCCTAAAGATTTGTCTATTCGTTGGAATAGTACTTATAACTTAATTAAAGTGCTTATTAGATTTAAAAACCATTTTCCTGCTTTTTTAAAAGAATATGCTAACTATAAAAATTGTGAATGTTTTGGTGTATTTTAATAATGCAACTGAAACTTTTAGTCATGTTTATAAACCTACCGCAAACCAATTTTTTGTTGAAGCTGTTAATCTCGCCGGTGCTTTTTCTGAATTTTCTGATGCCGCTTACGTTAGTTATTTTTGTGACTTCATGAAACAAAAGTTTTTAAAATATTATTCCTATATTCCGCATATATATAGTATTGCTTTTATTCTTGATCCTCGTTTTAGACTTGCTTCTTTGGAGCAATGTTTAGATTACTATTATGCTTCTTTTTTTGGTCCATTGCCTATGTACGACGACAAGGCCATAGACCCTAAACAACAATTCCAAGAGGTTAGTAATTTATTATATCAATTATTTAATGAGTTTCATGCACAATATGGTAACGCACCCCCTCCCCCGCCACGAACGTCAATCATCTAAAGGAAAATCAATTTTCAAATCTGCATTTGGCAATCTTATGAAAAAAAAGTAAATCAAATCCGGTTAATGAACAAAGCTCGATCAACGAGCTTTCTTTGTATCTAACATTTCCTGTTGAGTATGAAGAAGGGGATGACTTTGACGTTCTCAAGTGGTGGAAGGAAAAAGAGAGAATGTTCCCGATCTTATCAAAGATGGCTAAGCAAGTGCTAGCAATGCCGGTATCAACAGTTGCTGTGGAACAAAAGTTTAGTGCGGCCGGCAACGTCCTAACGGATTATAGAACGAGATTGAGCGCAAACTCTCTTGAGACGCTTGTTTGCTTCCACGATTGGTTGAAGGCCAAACGTAGAACTCAAGAAGTTAGCATTGAACCATTAACCCACCCGCCACTTTATGGAAGAAACAACCGAAGATGGCGGAAATTCCGATTGATTCTTATTTATTATAAAGTGTATTTCATGTTTTAATTTTTGGTGAATTTTCAATTGTACTACATATTTCAAATAAATATATTTTAACTTTTTTATGTCCATTTGTACTACATCTTAATTTAAACCAAAAAAAAACAAAATTGCCCGGCCCGAACCGGCCCGCTACCCGGCCGGGTAGGCCCGACCCGGACCGGACCCGGTATAACCCCGGGCCGGTTCTGGGCCCATCTGTCTAAAAAAAAAGCCCGGCCGGGCTCGGCCCGGAACCGGCCCGGCCCGGGTCCATCCCTAGACGAACTATACGGTAACTAGCCAGTCTCATGACATAAAAAAAATGTATGCAACATAGGCATAAACTTGGGGGCGGGCTGATATTGGTTCCAGTTTGGGCTACCCGATTAGGTCTCGGTCCGGGCTCGGATCGGACCTGTTTTTTAAAGGGAAAACATTTTTTTGAATTATTAGCCGTTAGCCGTTAGGCTCGAACCGGGCCCGGCCGGGCTGGTCAGGTCCACCAAAATGCATGCCCGAGGCCCTTATCGTAACTCCGCTAGTCCCGGTACCTGGTTGGTACTGGTCCCAGTCAACCGGGCTCGGGCCGGTACAAACGGTATCGGGCCCGGGTCGGCCCGGCCCAGTCCAGTCCATCCCTGTTCCAGCATAAACCCGTTCAGCAATGGTTCTGGTGCAGTTCTCATTTCTAAGTAACGTTCTGGGTATAGAGATTTTGCCAGCTCAATTCCCGTTCAACCTGGAATCGGGTCAATTTCTTCTTGGTTAGATTTCGTACGGATCAGTTCCTGTCGAATTATAGGACTACTATAATTCGTATGAATCTATGATTGTCGTCGTTGGACCAGTTTTTAGCCTTCTGTAGACTGGTTTTTAGACTGGAATCCAACACCAGAAAGCTTGTGGAATGTCGCGAATAAGTAATCCAGGATTTCTTGTTTCATGGGCTCACCAGAAAACCTCGGAAAGCAGCTCATCAAACTGAATTGCCTCCTTGCTGACTTCGCTAGGTCCCGCCAATTCTACAGTGCTCTCGACCTCTTCCACCATATCCACTCCTCCCACCACCTCAGACCCGACCATTACACTCTCTCCACCGCCCTCACTGCCTGTGCAAACAGCCAAGACACCGTCTTGGGCTCTCAAATCCACGCCTTTGGCTTTCGATCCGGGCTAAGAATTTTTTCCCATGTTTCGAATGCTCTACTCTCCTTCTATGCCAAGACCCAATATTTGTGTTGTGTTAAAAGGCTTTTCGGAGAAATTGGGTATCCGGATGCTTATTCGTGGACTACTTTGCTGTCTGCCTGCACGAAACTTGGCGAACTGGAGTATGCAGTCCAGGTCTTTGATCAGATGCCGCATAGAGACGTTGCTGTGTGGAATGCCGTTATTACTGGTTGTGCAGAAAGCGGCTATGACGAGCTTGCGTTCAATTTGTTCAAAAAAATGCACTCTTTGGGCGTTTCACACGATAATTACACTTTTGCCAGTGTCTTGAGTCTTTGCTCTTTGGAGCTATGGAGGTTTGGCGGGCAAATTCATTCAATGGTGGTCAAGACTGGGTTTTTTGTTAGAACCTCTGTTATCAACGCTTTGCTGACAATGTATTATAACTTCAAATCTGTTTCAGATGCGTTCAGAGTTTTTGAAGACGCAGAGGACGGAGTTGTTGATCAAATAACTTACAATGCAATGATTGCCGGGCTAGTAAGCCTGGAAAGAAATGAGGATGCTCTGGTGATGTTCAAGCATATGCAAGACATCCATCTGATGCCAACCGGGTTGACTTTTGTCAGTTTAATGGGTTCATGTTCTGATGCAAGAATTGCAGCTCAAATTCATTCACTCGTAGTAAAACATGGTTTTCAAGATTGCACTTCTGTCGGTAATGCTGCCATAACAATGTATTCCAATTGTAATGACTTTAAATCCATTCTTTTAGTGTTTGAAAGAATAAAGGAGAGGGATGTTGTGTCGTGGAATTCCATCATAACAAACTATGCTCAACAAGAGGATATGTTTGGAGAAGCAATCTTGGCATACCTTGCAATGCAGAGAGAACAGGTTTCTCCTGATCAATTCACTTTAGGAAGCTTGTTATCAAATTCACAGTCAGTAATTGATGTCGAGATAATTCTATCCATCGCAATTAAGAGTGGGCTTATCTTGAAAATTGAAGTTTCAAATTCATTAATTTCTTCCCTTTCTATGTTTGGGGAAATAGAGCGGGCCTACAGGTTTTTCCGCGACGACATGCTGTCAAGAAACTTGGTCACATGGAATGCAATTATTTCTGGTTGTCAATCGAATGGATTGCCTGTGCAGGGTTTAAACCTCTTTAGTGAGCTTCTGGGGATAGGTTTAAGGCCCAATGCTTCCACTCTCAGCATAGTCTTGAGTTTATGTGCAACTATTCCTTCTCTCCCGCACGGAAAACAGATTCATGGATATATTCTTAAATTTGGGTTATTTTATGAATATTCTTCTTTGGGAAACACTCTAATTGCTCTCTACTCGAAGTGTGGGGTTTTGCATTGGTCCGTGAGGGTGTTCCAGATTATGACTGTAGGGTATTGTTCTGTTTACCTTATTTCTTGTGTTTATTACTCCTTCTGTCCCGAATGAATCTTCATCACCATCATTCATGCGGTCAGCTGAATTTCATATTAATATACGAAGCACGTAGTATGATTTCATATACTATCTCCATCCCCAAAACAACTTCCCACTTTCCTTATTTGGATGTCCCAAAATAAACTTCACCTTTCCTTGAAAAGTAACTTTTTGATTCAAAATATCAAAACTACCCTTAATTTTTACTTGATTTAACATAAAATAGGGGTATCATTGGAAAGTCAAAGTGAGATGTTGTTTCCGGGACAGGGAGTATAAAACTTCCATAGTTTCGTGGTTTAATAGAACTTGTCGTGTAGTTTTTGAATACATAAATTTTAATTATTAATACTATTTTAGGCACTGTCTAGGAGCATTTAGTTTTAAATAACTAAAAAGTTTTGGATGTTGGAAGTACTGTTGTTATTGTAATCAAAGACATGCAGACCGTATCTGTCACCAAACAAGAAAATTCCAGACCAGCCATCCAAACTAGAATAGAATAGAAAAAATCATATGACGAATCCCAAATGTTATATTTGGGATATTTTGATAAAGAAATTAAAGGAATCCCAAAGATTCAAATGAAATGAGACTATATCTGAAAGATTTAGACTAGAACCAGTAGATTAGACAAGACCAAATATATACAGGCCGGGCCATATAAAACTCATTAATTCAATCACATATTTCAGGCAAATGCAACAGGTCCTAAGAGATGTTGTTACGTGGAATTCAATGATATCTGCATATGCACAACATGGGAAAGGAAGGGAAGCTGTTTGTTGCTTTGAAATGATGACAGGTTCGGGCGGAGTAGAACCAGACAAGGCGACTTTTACTGGAGTTCTATCAGCTTGTAGTCATGCAGGCTTGGTTAAAGATGGGATACAAATGTTTAACTCGATGGTAAATACTTTTGATATTAAGCCTGGAGTGGAGCACTTCTCTTGCATTGTGGATATTCTTAGCCGTGCTGGATATCTTGATGAGGCGGAAAAGATGGTAAATGAGAAAAGAGTTTTTGAGATAGAAGATCCCACTGTTTGGTGGGGTTTGTTCAGTTCATGCGCAGCACATGGTAATGCAAGATTAGGAAGAATGGTTGCTGGGATTCTGCTGGAGACTGAAAAGGATAACCCGGCAGTTTATGTGATGTTGTCAAATATTTATGCTGATGCAGGGAAATGGGAAGAATCAGCTAGTGTTAGGGAATTAATGCAGAGATATAGGGTTGTAAAGCAACCTGGTAGTAGTTGGATTAGATCATCATAGCTCCATATTACTGTGAAGCAATCTTGCTGAAATTTTGATCTAGGGTCAAAATTGCACTATAATCTTATCATATAGTTCAGCAGAAAGAATTATTAATCCAACAATTTTTTGGTTTCTTAGAGATTATATCAATAATAAGAGATTGATAAAACATGTAATTACAAAGGAGACCAATTTGAATTATGTGTGCAAAGACATAGTTGCAAATATTTATGTGTAAGAATACATAAATACATTTATGTGTTTAAAAAACATTTTTAAGTTGTTAGATTTCATTAGATTATATTTTCAGATACTCGTATTACTTTTGAATATTTTGGTAAAAAAACATTTTTAAAATGCCCTATATTGGAGCAAAAACAATGTGAAATTCAAATTTTGGAGTGCTCTGTCTTCCTTTGAATTGAAGTAATTACTATCTTGCTTGAAAAGTAGAAAACTATTCATCAATATTACTCTTTAAAATGTGGTGAACAAAAATATTACTTGGTAATTATAATTGTGTTCAAATTTACATCGTAGTAATGGCATGTAAGTTATTACAATGTAAACTCTGAACAAAATTACAATCATTAATACTCCGTAGTTACTAAATAATATTTTTGTTCATACATTTTTTATTAATAACATTTAAGGAAAAAACCCTGAAAAATAATGTCAATGATGATATTAATATGAAATATTGACACATTAATATCTGATAATGTCAAAATATAACTGTATGATTTCAATTTGACAATAATTTGATTGTATTTAAGAAAGAATATAATATTTATATTTAAAATTGTACATTACCTTTACTGTTATTTCAGAAAATTTTCATGCATCCTATTTATGTATGCCTTACTAACGCAACAAGGCGAAATTTTACATTTATAAATTTTAGAGTTATGTTTCAGCTTATATAATTGTTAACTTCACATCAGCAAATGAAGTTCACTTAAAACGCATCAAAATCACAAAATGTATAAAATTTGTGATGCGTTAACCGCGGTATATAGGAGTTGACAATTTTTTAAAACAATACTCCGTATAAAAGAAAATAAGCTACCGAATAACATGCCCAGTGTCAAAATGTTCACAAAACTTTTGAGTTGACAATTGTGTCAAAATGTTCAAGTAAAGATTTACCCAAGGGGGTAAAGTTGGCCAATTCCACACTACAAAGTGAGAATAAACAACGGATATCACTTACATGATATTTACCCAAGTCTAAACATACTCCTATAATTATTTGGCCAAGGAAATTTAGCCATATCGCAGGTCTGTGCGCTGTTTGGGAAAATGCAATCATATCTCATGGAAACTCATCCTCAAACTCCTCTTCCAAAAAAGAGCATTGTTTTGGCCTACAAAACTTTGTTATATATGGAAACAAACTAATCCTCCTGAGTCCAGATCTTTACTGTCTTATCCTTTGTAAGTGAACCAGAAGCAATCATGTTCTGATTTGGGTGGCATGCAACTGATATAACAGCATCACTGTGACCTTCAAGCTTTTGAACAATTTTTCTTGTCTGAAGCTCCCAAATATACACACAATTATCCTCGGAACCACTTACAACATACTTCCCATTCGTGATGGAAAACGTTGAAGATATGCAGTACTTAGAGTTTACATGCCCACTGTATGTTTTTAAGAATTTACCAGTGGAGTAGTTCCAAAGGCGCTGCAACAGAAAGAAAAAAATAATTCATGAAAAGGTAATATAGCATATTAACCCATAATTGAATTTTTTGCAAGTCTCAAAATTAATATTCCGTACAAAATAATACTGGGATAACTCTGATTATTCCATTCACCATTGGTACAGAAATTTAACACTCAAGTAGTGCCTAACAACTATTTAATTAAACTCAATGTTTTAAAAGGCGCTAGGCGCTAGTCGAGCGCCAGCCCAGTGCCTAGCACCTAGGCGGGGACTAGTCGGAGACAAAGAAATTACATTTTTATCTATATTGTGTGCATAAAATACATAATATACATATACATTAACAAACCTGAATGATAGAATTATCACATTTAATTATACGTAGTATATGATAACTAATTACTTAACTTCATTATGTTATAAATATAAATAATGATGAAATTTAGGTACATATATAGAAACATATATAGTTTTATCTTAATTTACAACTTCATTTCTTTATATCCATGGCTAAAGCTAAAGTACGTATATCTTTTAGAAAATAAAACTTAAAAAGTAAAGTAATGTTTGGCGAATTTAGACGGCCGCCGATTTGGCGCTCTAGGTGGGAACTAGGCACCATAGGCGGCTGGCTAATTAACTTAGACGGCAAACCAATTAGTCAGAGCGCCTAGACGAAAATCGGGGCGCCCGACCACCGCCTAGTGCCTAGGCGGGGATTAGTCGGACGCCTAGAACGATTTTTAGAACAGAGGTTAAACTACTTTACTTTTAAAGAAAAGTAGAAAACTTTGAGCGCTTAAATAATACTCCCTCCATTTCGCTGTGATAGTCCTATTTTCCCTTTATTTTTGCTAAGATTGTCTCATCACATATTTAGTAATATATGTTTGGTTCCAAATCGTTCTTACTTTATTTTTACTAATTATTTCAATACTCCAAAATCATTTTCAATAACCGCATCACTTCTTAATATACCAAAGTTAGGAAGATGGAGGTAGTAATTAAGATGGGGATTCTCCCTTCATTACTACTAGTTAAATACCCAACAGAAAGTATATGAATGAAAAAAATATCAAGTTTGAATCTTTTCAGGAAAAGGTAAAGAATATGTCAGAGAAATGTGAGTTTGATGACAATTGAGGTTATATAGGTTCAATTTCTATACTAAAGACAGATTGAGTTAGTGGTAAAAGATTCATAGCTAAGTCAGATGACAGTAACTCCCTGTGAAGAATCAAGGGTCTGTTTGGATGAAGAGTTTTGGAGGGCTAAGTCCAAAGTTCTATATCAAGATATATGTTTGAAATTTTTAAAGAATTGAAGATATAACATAGTAGGTGATCATACAGATTTAATAACCGTTTAATCCTTCATTCATTTTTAGATACATTCTGTATATAAAATTATAAAGATCTAAACTAACCCTCCAAAGTCTTCTTTCCTAATTCCTTCAAAAACTTCCATCAAAACTGATCCTATGGGTTTGTTTGGTTCAATAAAGAAGACTGGAAGAGAGCCCAATGGAAGGAAAGGCAAGACGAGAGGAGGGGTGGGATAATGTTTTTCTGTTTCACTAGTTGGTTTAGTTGGAGGAGAAGGGAGAGGAATGGAAGGGGAATGTAGTTACAGTTAGCGTCCCCTTCAAAAACCCGCAATGGGAGGTATGAAAAATGAAGGGAATGGGGGAGGTGGGGGGAAGGGGCTTACACATATTGTCTCACCCTCCCAACTTTTGTAACCAAATGGGGGGGAGGAGCACTTTCCCTTCCACCTTGAAGGAAGCATACTTATGAATTTTTTTCTGAAATCTCCACTTCCGGATGTATCAATTCTATTGCAATCGACTACTAGGTTTAACATTGTTCTTCCTTCGGCAGAGAAGAAGAGTTTTGTAGAAGTCATACTTAACTTTCATCCTTCGGCAGATAAAAAGACTAATTAGAAGTTATACTTGACTACGTGGGTACAAACAGATGTACCATTTTGAATACATCTATAGCACATTAGAAAAATCTAATAACATAGCTAAACTATTCTGGAAATACAAGTTTGAGATATTAACCCTTGCACACATGGTAATCAAAATCAAGACCCGGCTCCTACAACTGCACAATTATATAATTCCTATTAGGTCTTGTGGTCACACTTCTATTAAAGATCATAAATGGACAAGGATCACTTGGACCATTGTCTTCAATCGCAGAATCGTAGAATCACAAATGAATCTTGATTCATTCGTGTTGGTTGTCAGAAGTTTCTGACTTTGAGGAATAATTCCAAAAGGTTAAACATGCGGAAAGTTGAAAAAACAGGTTCGTCGCTCCAAAATTAATGCAAAGAAACCTATTAATTAGCTGTATTCAGCAATCAGCAATTCAGCACCAGGCATCACATGAGAATCCCATGTGGCTAATGTCTTCTCTTCATCTCTCTTTATCTTCTGCGTCGATTCATCAAACTCCAGGCCTTCATCTGTCATTAGCTTCTGTGTCGACATCCAGATTTTTTTTTTATGTTTTTCATTTTTTTGATTAGGCAGAAAAAATGTACGAACTCTATCTGCGTAGAGAGTTTCCATTATAGTACGTAGTATAAGACAATTTATAGATTTAGAGTTTTAGATATTTAGTTCTCTAGCTATGGACATGTGTTTTTTGTCTTACATACCTAATGTATTTTATTTTATGTTTCAAACGTCTTACTATTATAATATTATTATTTATATGAATCATATTGAATATTGAATCAAAATGATACATACATATATGTGCGTATAGTAGGACCTTACGTGTTACTATCCAAGTTATGACCCTACAACTTCCAATGTTTAGGTCTTCCTCCGATCCTATGTAGGATCTTGAGTATGATTACCATGCTTGCACATTGGATAATAGCATAATGAAATAGTGGCTGTACAGAAAGTATTAAATGAGAAGAAAGAGGGGAACTTTTTCCTCTGTTAGCTGCCCTATCTGAAGCAGCACATCCACAGGTAACAGAAACTTAATCAATGAACCCTAGAAATGTACTTTAGTCCGGAAAAGTTTTTAATACTTGATAGTTGATACATCAATTCCGATATTGAACCTTGTATCACTGAAACTCGGTAAACACGAAGGCCAATTTTGAACTGTACTCCCTCAGATGCATACGTTTTGGATTCAAATTACGGCAGAGTCTACATAAATTAACATCAGACATAGAGATACAGTTAAATATATCAAGTATTTGGAATTGGCAGGTGACCCAGAATTAATTAAACAAAGCAATGTATGCTTCTCAATAAGCCTTTTTCTTATATGACTTCTATCCAAAGCCTCCTCTCCATTCCCACCCCCAAGATTGTTCAAAATTTAATCTTCATTCGGAAACCCAGCACTAGAAAATGGATGAAGTTATTATCCAGGGAAAAAAATCAAGGAATAAAAGAAAGAACAGGAAACTTACCAATGTATCATCCAAAGTTCCGACCAGAATAAACTTCCCATTCGGTGAAAACTTGACGAAACTGACAGGCGGGTTTTCATCATCAATCAATGTCTTTATACAATGCCCAGTTGAAGCATCCCAAATCCTACACAACCCGTCGTAGCTGCTAGACACAATCAGTTTCCCGTCCTGACTGAAATGCACCGCGGTGACAGGATCGGAGTGAGCAGGCAACACCTTGAGGCACTTCCCTGTCTTGACATCCCAAATCCTCACCGTTTCATCGAAAGAACCAGACACAAGCATGTTAGACTGGAAGTTGTAGTTGACGCAGAAGACGTAATTGGTGTGGCCGGTGAGGGTTTTGACGGCGGAGCCGGTGGTTACATCCCAGAGGCGGACGGTCTTGTCGTCGGATGCCGTGGAAAGGTACCGACCGTCAGAGGAGAAGGCGATGTCGGATATGCCCTGCTCGTGGCCCTGGAATTCGTGGACGAGTGCGCCGTCGGAGACGGACCAAACGCGCGCGGTCTTGTCCGCGGAGGCTGTGCCGAGAAAGCGGCCACAGTCGGAAAACTTGACGCTGGAGATGGCGCTTCTATGGCCGGCTAGGGTTTGCTTGAGCTCGTAAGGCTTGAATGATTCCGTTGATTCAGAGTTCAATGCCATTTGCGAAGGGAAGCAAGCGATTTTTTAGATGAGGTCGCAGTATACTCTCCGATTCCAACTTTCACTTCCTCGGATTTTGCTCCTTCCGAGGAAAGCACTCCAAATTTACTGTGGAAGAAACCTTAAGCTCCCGCCCCGTTTTGTATATAAATAAAGAACCAGAAACGGTCAGATATACGGAGTCCTAAGTTCTTACCACAAACACTCGCTTCGCACTCTAGAAAATTCTTTTCGAACGCTTAAACCTCAAAGAAGTTGTACATTTGTAATTAATTGCAACTTTGAAATTAGTTATGGGAGGTGTTTGATAAATGGTATTTCAGTAAAAAAAATTGTGGTTTGATAACTCTTAGCGCTTTTAATAAGTGAAAACATTGTTTGGTAGATAGCGGTTCGGCACAAGCATATTTTATTACTCTCTCCGTCCCCTAACTTTGTCCCGTTTTACCTTTTTCGTCCGTCCCGTTAAGTTTGTCTCATACCATATTTGATAATATTTGAGTGGTTACCATTAATTATCACTTTATTCATACTTTATAAATTCAATATCAACCGCACAATTCCATTTTTTCTTAAAAGTTGTGTCACACCCCTTTGTCCCAAAGATAGTGGGATGGAGGTAATAATTTTATGGCCAAACAATTAAATTATCAAACATCTGACAACCCGTTAACTTACTCCGTTAGTCAAACTCGCTGATTGAAATACACTATTGACAATCCGCTAACACAATCTTAATCGCTAAATACCAAACACATAAGATTACTCAATCTTTCATTCCTTTCTTCCATTTAGCTCCCAACTCTTTCATTTATTCCGTTCTTCTCCTAGAGTCCTAGGTAGACGTACTTCTCCATGAATTCTAATGACAATTTCATTCAAGGCCGATCAATTTGGAGGCCCCCGTTTCAAATTAAGAGCACCTAAAATGAGAAAGAATATCAAATTTTAAAAATGTAATACAAATTGACTAGATAATTCAATGAAATATAAATTTTATAATGTTTAAAGTATATGGGAGCGGTTCAGGTAAGAACAGATCTTAGGAGAGAAATGAGAACGAATCTAGACCGTTGGATTGAATTATGTGGAACTGAATTGTGCATTTGATGAAATCGAAATGTACATTAGATGATATTGAAATGTGCATGATAAAAATTTAAACTCACATGTGCATTAGGTGAAACTGAAATGTGCAGAATAAAAGGTACTAAAATAACATCACATCATACCTTTTATTGTGCACATTTTAGTTTCATTTAATGCACATTTCAAATCCACCCAATGCACAATTTAGCTTCACATAATGCCACTACATTGTACTCTTTGTGCTGCACATTTCAATTTCACCTAATACACATTACAACTTTATCTAATGCACATTGAATTTCACATAAAGCATGTAACACCGTCCCCAAATGTATTTACTTTTAAGTGAATAATGTATTGAACCTTATGAAATGATTAATGAGTATACGAAGTTGTGAATTTTTATTAATTCTCTTGCGTGAATAGTAAATTCGCACGTGGGGCGCACATCGGGAGGCGGTGGCCGCCCGATAGTCCCGAGACCATATATTTTTATTTATCTTGATTTAGATAATATTCATATGGTGGTGGATACTTCATTTGAGCCATGGAAAGGTCCAGAGTTGACCGATTGGTCAATTGAGGCTCAATTACCGGTATTGGTAACTTAACGGATAACAACCCGAAATTTGATTTCGGAGACCTATAAAATAAAGTTGGGGAATGTATATTCATTATAAGGGTCATAATGATTGAGAACACATAATATATTTTATTTTGACCCGATAAAATAAAATATATTTAAAACAGTCCGAAAAAAATACAACTTTCGGGACCGATTATACACTTCTGGACAAAAGGGGTTGACCTCCCATGGGTGGGGGCCAACCCACGAATTTGGCCACTCAAATTAAGGAGTTGGCCGGCTGGTAGAGTAGGCAATCATGGGGGATGATATTGAGATGAAGGAATTGGCATAAAACAAAATGGGGTAGACCCACACCCATGTTTATTTGCCCATTAAGACAAAAGAGCAACTTCTCTCTCCCTCATTCTTTCTCTAGGCCAGCACAAACCCCAGCAAGACAAAGAAAACCTCCATCCTCCTTTTCCCATCCTTGAAGAGAGCTCAAACAATAGGGGTCCAAGGGGAAAGATTAAAGAGAGAAAAAAGCTGTGAAAAGTGAGAAAAGATTAAGGTAATAACCTTATATTAACTTTTCCTTTATTTTTCTTCTATCATATGATGGGAAGAAGGATAATAGGTTGGGAGAGTGGTTCCAAGTCCAAGAAT